TGGTAAGTACACTCTTAAAGTTTCTTGTTGTTGCTGTTTTTTTAATTTATTTATTTATTTGAGAGAGAGAGAGCTCAAGCAGGAGGAGGACAGAGGGAGAGAGAGACAGAGAAATAGACTCCCTGCTTAGTGTGGAGCCCCCTGAAGGGCTCAATCCCAGGACCCTGAGATCATGACTTGAGCCAGAACAAGAGTCGGAGGCTTAATCAACTGAACAAAGCAGGCACCCCTGAACTTTTCTTGTTTCTGATGAACTTGACAGTTTTGAGCAGAACTAGACAAACATTTTATATAAAAACCTCCATTTGGGGTTTGTCTGATATTTTACTCAAGATTGGACTGGGGCTATGGGTTGTTGGGAGAAAGGTCACAGAGGCAAAGTGCCATTTGCATCACATCCTGCCAGTGGGTACATATTTTCAATGTGACTCATCACCATTGATGTTAACCTTGATCACATGTTTGAGGTAGTGTCTTCCATATTTCTCTTTAAATTTTACTCCCCCCTGCCCCACTCCACAATGTGTTTTTTAAAAGGAACTCACTTGTGTGCAGCCTACAAATAAGAGATTGAGTGTTATCCTATAACCTTTGAGAGCAGAGTACCTACAAAATCATTATGAATTCCTTTTTATGGGAGCTTTATCTATTATCCCCTATTTATTAGTTATTTATTTAAGTGATTTATATCATTATGAACTTGTGGATTTTTTACACTATGAGTTATATTTCAACTCAGTGTCATTTATTTTGTTGCTCAAATCTTTTCCAAATTTTGGCACTGGAGGCTCTTCCCATTGGCTCTTGTTTCCCTTTGGCATATTCTCATCAGTGTGAATGTACTTGTGTGTGTGTGTGTGTTGTGTGTGTGTGTCTTTGTGTGTGTGTGTATTAGCACTTCTTTCCCTTCTAGAATTACAAGATGTTCCAGTTCATCTCCTACATTCCCTGCCACAGACCTAGAATCCGTCATTTCTTTAAGAAATCTTAATTCATTTTCTTTCATAATGGTATCAGGAACCATGCCCTGGCCACTAGATAACTAGATAATCACTGGTTTTTTTTTTTTTATTTTAGTCAAAATACGTCATTTATGGCCCACATAAACCCCTTGCAAGAATTGATCACTTTTTTCCCATAATCTAATAATACATATTGAAAATTAAGTTATTTCTCATATCTAGCTAATACTTCTTAATTAAAAGGGAAGGAAGACTTTAGGGAATGACCTTCCCCAGACTCCTATATTTTGCATCATTCATGTTAAATATTCCTGCAGGAAAGGCAAAAGAGAAGCATTTCCCAGTCAAAATTACATGTGAGGGTACGTTTCAGAAAGTGTGGGATGAATCCAGGACAAACTTTATCTTCTGGCATGCGTGGAAGAACCTGAGCCTCAGTGACATCAAAAGAGATCAGATAGAATTTTAGAAACACTTTTTTTCTTAATTCTCATTTGAGTAAAGTACAGCCAAATTGAGAAGAAAAGAGTACGAATGAACATCCTAACCTTTGCAAAAGCTCTTATCAAAACTGGTAAGATTTCTTTTGGGGATTAACTTAGTTGTTTTTAATACTCTGAGAAAATTCATCTGATCAATTCCATAGTGTGCATCTAACATGTAAAAGGCATCTATGGAAGGATAGAAAATTTAGGGAATTTTTTAAAAGAGCTTTACAATCAAAACTGAGAAGACAGAAAAACAGAAATGCATAGCAGCTCCGGGTGGAGATCTAAGCAAAGAGAAATAATATCTGAGCATTCCAGGAAATGCTCCATGGAGTTGATGATTTTACTTTGGATGGAGTAAGCTTCCCTTTTCAGTGGTAACTGCATATTGAATAGGACTGAACACTATTGGATTGTATCAATAGGAAATTCTCTTAATTCTTTCATTCACATTATGAATACTTATTATTAAATATGTACTTTTTTCTAGATGTTAAATTCAGCCATGAACAGATAAAAATTACCCTCTTTATGGTGCTTCATTCCAATGTATGCCACTCATATCTATTATTATGTGAAATATACAAGTATCTGTCTATATCTCTATCAGGTAGATGGATGATAGATTGACAGATTGATCAATTAATACATAGATAAATAGATGTCTTTTTATTGTACTTAACTGTTAAAAACAACAGAAATGTTTTCATTCCTATTTGCTGAAGAGTTGGACAGAGAACATATTTGGCGAACTTCTCTAAGAGTGCAGGGGAACCTGTAGTGAATGGCAGTGTTGGGGCATGGGGCATGATGTGGTAAAGAGCCTTGAGTCCAGAACTGTCTCTAGCTGACTCACCCTCTTAAACAGACATTTAAATCTCATCTGGCCCTGGGAATCTTGCTGTCCCAGCAGCCCATGCCAGAAGACAGTTGTTAGGAACCAGTAATATGCCAATGTGATTAACAAACCATCTACTAAGAGAAGGTTTTGAGCTTTTATTTTTAATGAAACATGATTATGACATATTTTCAACTACCAAAGGAAAAACTTTAAGACACAGGTCATCCTCCTGACTTTGATTCCAAGAAAGCAATTTCCCCACCCTGAGGCCACAAATATTATGTAATTTTGGTACTATCTTAAATACAATTAATTGGTAAGAGTCCGTGTGTGTGTGTGTGTGTGATATATATTATTCTGCTGATAATGAAAATATTACCATCCTCTGCATAGCGTTCTGAACTCTATCACTTTTCAAAATATTTTAGAAACCATTGCATATATATCCACTTCCTTTTTTTGTGTGTTAATCACCATACATTACATCATTAGTTTTTTTATTATTGCATAAAATACCATCCCTGACTCATTTAGCTTCCTTCTGATGGGCATTGAAGTTGTTTCTTACCTTTGGCCAACTTGGAAAGGACTGCTGTGATTGTCCTTGTGCCTGTGAGTGGATTACTTGCAGCAAATGGACTCATAGTCCATGTGCCATTGAAGTATCATCAATGCTGAAAATCACTCCCCAAGAAATTGCACCCCCTTAAACTTCTACCAAAATTGTGTGGGATCAATTGTTTCCCACATTATTTTCAGTAGTGTTTGTTAAGATATATTTATCAATGGGGCACCTGGGTGGCTCAGTCATTAAGCGTCTGCCTTTGGCTCAGATCATGATCTCAGGGCCCTGGGATCGAGCCCTGCATCGGGCTCCCTGCTCAGCGGGGAGTCTGCTTCTCCCTCTCCCTCTGCCAGCTGTTCCCCCTGCTTGTGTTCTCTCTCTGTCAAATAAATAAATAAAATCTTAAAAAACACACACACTTTTCAAAAAGGTCTTTATTTAATTTATTAATCTGATAAGTGAAAAGATATATAATTGGAATTTAAATTTGAATGTATTTAGATATGAATGAAATTGATTATCTATTCACATTTTTAATAAGAAGAGTTTCTTTTGAAATCAATTATTTGACCCATTTTCATTTGCACTTTTTTTTTTTAAAGATTTTACTTATTTAGAGAGAGGGAGAGTGTGTGTGTGAGCAGGAGAAGGGGCAGTGGGAGAGGGAGAGAGAGAATCTTAAGCAGGCTCCACACCAGACACAGAGCCTGGCATGGGGCTCGATCCCATAACCCTGAGATCATGACCTGAGTGGAATCCAGAGTCGGACGCATAAGTGACTGAGCCACCCAGGTACCCTAAGCATTAAGTTTTTAAAGATTGATCCTTGAAATCTAATTATATTTGAGAAACTTTTGCTTTTGTCTGGAATACATGAGGTAAATATACTTAAATGACTTGTCACTTATGCTTTTAATTGTGCTACTATTTGGAAAATATATGTGATGAGGACAGAGAATGTTATTCCACTGTTAGGCATATATAAATAAATATTAGTTCCCTTCCTCTTTCTGTCTTCTCTTACTGAAGTCAGAATATGGGACACTCGAGAATATAGATTCCAAGAATTCTATTGAAAAGTTTCAGCTATGACTTGGAACTTCCTTAGCTCATTTTCTAAATCCCTGGTGCTTAAAATAACATGAAATTTGAAAAAAATATTTTGCTTTGTGCCAGATGTTCTCTATTTATATTTATTTAGTCTGAGTCTCTCCTTGTTTCTTAAGAAAATATGCTGAAAGACCCATTAAAATATTGAAAGAGGCAAAGAGTGGGTATTAAGGAGGGCACATATTGCATGGAGCACTTGGTGTTATATGCAAACAATGTATCACAGAACACTACCTCAAAAACTAATGATGTATTGTATTGTGACTAGCATAACATAATAAAAAAAGGCAAAGATTTAATTTTGGACAACATCGTACAATTTCAAAAGTACAAAGCTTTATGATAGAAGCTGAATTTAAAACTACAAACAACTAGAAATTATTGAGAGTTAAAGTAACAGGAAATAAACAGTCAAACTAACAGATTAAAATAAATTTCAGGATGGACTGAATTAATTGAGGAAAGCTCACTGCTAAAATATTGTTTCTCCCTTCTCTCTCTCTCTCACTCTCTCTCTCAGGTTACATTAAGGGGAACACTATCAAAAGTTTCTACATCGTTCCTTGAATGTTCAGAATATTTACGAGAAGATACTTTATAACTGAACTACCAGTTTCAAGTGGTGTGAAAGGGCATTATGTAAATCATGCATGAGTTTTCTCCATTTGGCAACATTCTACCCTAAAAGGATCTTGCCATAAACTAAAGAAAGACATTCAGCTCAGAAAGATACCCTCCCAATCCAAATCCCCTAAATTAATGTTTTTTATGCCTGAAGAATCAGGTACTCTAATTATTGATATATTTGATTGTTTCCATAAGCAATCAGGTGAATAGATTATGAATAAATATTATGATTTCCACTTTGTTCAGAAGAAAAAAACATGAAAGGTAAGGGATTACACACAGGTAAGTGGCATATCCATGATCAAGCATATGGATATGATCTCAAAATGGAGTATTCATTTCATAATATTTCTTTCTTTGCAGATTAATTCTTTCTAACCTGCGCTTTCTCCACTTTGCCTGAAATAATGCAGCAAAATAACAGTGTAACTGAGTTCATCCTATTAGGATTGACACAAGATCCTATGAAAAAGAAAATGATATTTGTAATCTTCTTCATTTTATATATGGGAACCATGATAGGGAATTTACTTATTATAGTGACCATCAAGTTCAGCCGGACACTTGGGAGCCCCATGTACTTTTTCCTATTTTATTTGTCTCTTGCTGATTCCTGCATTTCAACATCCACAGCCCCCAGACTAATTGTGGACTCACTCTCTGCAAAAAGAATCATAACTTATAATGAGTGCATGACTCAAGTCTTTGCACTACATTTCTTTGGCTGCATGGAGATCTATGTCCTCATCCTCATGGCTGCTGATCGCTATGTGCCCATCTGTAAGCCCCTACGTTACCCAACCATCATGAGGCAGCAGGTCTGCACAATCCTGATTGTTCTTGCATGGATAGGGTCTTTTATCCATTCTATAGCCCAGATTATCCTGGCTTTGAAGTTGCCCTTCTGTGGACCGAATTTGATTGATCATTACTGCTGTGATTTGCAGCCCTTGCTGGAACTTGCTTGCATGGACACATACATGATCAACCTACTGTTGGTGTCTAACAGTGGGGTCATTTGCTCAAGCAGTTTTGTGATTCTGATGATCTCATACATTGTCATCTTGCATTCCCTGCGAAACCACAGTGCAGAAGGGAGGAAAAAAGCTCTCTCTACTTGTACTTCTCACATCATTGTAGTAGTTTTATTCTTTGTTCCATGTATATTCATATATACATGCCCCCCAACCACTTTCCCCATGGACAAGATGGTGGCTGTATTTTATACTATTGGGACCCCTTTTCTCAACCCACTCATCTACACACTGAGAAATGCAGAAGTGAAAAATGCCATGAGAAAGCTATGGCATATAAAAATTACCACAGAAAGCAAAAGATGAATTGAGGGCTTTGGCTGATTCCTTAATCTGTACAGATATCAAATATGATAGTGTATATCCTGACTTGTACAAGACACTCTAACACCTGATTTCCTCATTTTTTTCTGTACTTCTGTCCTTAAACTAATAGCTTCCCTCATAATGCCAGCCTGGTTCTTACTTTTCCTGAGAGCTCAATTCTGACATTGCTGATTATGAAATACTACTTACATCTCAATCTACACTCTGGTTTGATAAGGAGAAAGGTATTTATACAATCACAACTGTTCAAAAAGTGAGCACCCATAAATAAAGATTAGCCTGTTCTCTATGACTTGTAATTCTCTATAGCACATTTTAAATAAGGTATCCTGTTTCCTCTTGAACACATTCAGAGCAAAGGAACTAAATTTGTGTGTCAAGAAATTCTTTTCATTTTATCATTAATCTTGAAAAACGTTCCATACTAGTGAACTAAAGGCCAAAAGGTTGCATATATAAAATATGTAATTTTTTTCTTAAATAATTGTTATGTTCCCTTTGACTATTAATATAACTGTGGCATTATGTATGGGATTTTTTTTTCTGGGCCATAAGGCACATCTTTTTTTTTTAATTAATTAATTTATTGTTTTAATTAATTTTATTTTGTTATGTTAGTCACCATACATTACATCATTAGTTTTTGATGTAGTGTTCCATGATTCATTGTTTGCGTATAACACCCAGTGCTCCATGCAATACATGCCCTCCTTAATACCCATCACTGGGCTAACCCATTCCCCCACACCCCTCCCCTCTAAAACCTTCAGTTTGCTTGTCAGAGTCCATCGTCTCTCATGGTTCATCTCCCCCTCCGATTTCTCCCCTTCATTCTTCCCTTCCTGCTATCTTTTTTTTTTTTTCACATATAATGTATTATTTGTTTCAGAGGTACAGGTCTATGATTCATCAGTATTACACAATTCACAGCGCTCACCATAGCACATATGGGATTTTTTAAATGTAGTATTACAAAGTACTCATGATATTCAACTAATTTGTGTGATTGGGATATAGGGGCTACAGCAAGAGACTTCTACAACTGTAAGAGGGAAAGAAGTAAAATATGCATGGTGTCAAGACTGAATAAGAATTTAAATGCACCGTAAGGATGCCTGGGTGGCTCAGTCCGGTTAAGCGTCAGACTTCGGCTCCACTCATGATCCCAGGGTTCTGGGATCGAATCCTGCATCAGGCTCCTTGCTCAGCTGGGGGCCTATTTCTCCCTCTGCCTGCTCTGCCTGCCACTTCCCCTGCTTGTGCTCTCTCTCTCTCTGACAAAAAATAAATAAAATTTTAAATAAATAAATACAAGGCAGATTCAACATATTTTCTGAGATTGAAGTACAGAAGGTTAGGACCTAGTTTGAAGGAAAAAATGTATATTATTTCATTTACAGTTGGGTTGTATCAATGGAATAAGAGAAACTATCAGAGGCATTCAGAAATACTCAGGATACTTGTGTCTAGTAATGGAGTTGGAGAGAAAGTACTTTTACAGCAGGAAGCCACTTTCTTTCTCCGTTTGTACTTTCCTAATAAAAGGGGAGTACCTATTCACAAGTTAGAATTGCCAGTAGAATTTTGATGCTGATAGTGAGCACAGATTTGCAGCCATGCCTTCAATATGTGTATGCCAGGGGTTATATCATGTAATTTTGAAATTCATTGATTTCAGAGAGTACAAAAATACTTATTCAAAGGAATACATGCCCCCCTAATGTTTATATCAGCATTACCTACAATAGCCAAACTGTGGAAATAGCCCAAGTGCCCATCGAATGATGAATGGATAAAGATGTGGGGGATATATCTATCTATCTATCATCTATCTATCCATCTAAAATGGACTATTACTCAGCCCTCAAAAGGAATGAGATCTTGTTATTTTCAATAACAAGGATGGAGCTAGAGAGTATTATTCTAACCAAAATTAGTAAGTCAGAGAAAGAAAACTACCATATGATTTCACTCATGTGGAATTTAAGAAACAAAACAAATGAGTATAGAGACAAAATTAGAGAGGGGGCAAACCAACAAACAGACTCTTAAATATAGAGAACAAACTAACGGTTACCAGGGGAGGTGGGTAGGAGGACAGGTTAATTAGGGGATGGCGATATAAGAGTACACTTGTGATGAGCACTGGCTGTGGTATGTAAGTGTTGAATAACTAAACCGTACACCTGGAGCTCCTATTACACTGTATGTTAACTAATGGGAATTTAAACAGAAACTTTAAAAAAAAATAAATTATTTCAGTGTATTCAAGTGTACCACATCCTTAGTAACTATGACAAGATTCCATTTCATTTTCAATGCTCTTCCCCATTATTTACCTGGAAAACCATTTCATACCAATAGTTTCCTCCTGTCAAAGACTATTTTCAACTAAATTCATTAAAATATCATGTTTTCCATGTTCTCACAACTTTTTGCTTTTGGGGATATTATGAAGCTAGTGAGGGCTCTAGTGTCCCAAAATTGACATGTTGATGTACAAAAATTATATATATATTGCAATTGTATAAATTGATTTTTTGACATACATATAATGTGAAAATTTCACCACAATATAACTAATTAACAAATCTGTCTTCTCTATGTAGTTACCACCCACTAGAATGTCTAGAATCAAAAAAGACAGGCAATAACAAGTTTTAGTGAGGAGGTGGAGAAATAGGAGTTCTCATAAATTGCTCGTGGTAATGTAGCATAGTGCAATGATTTTTTTTTTTTAGATTTTATTTATTTATTTGTCAAAGAGAGAGAGCACATGTAGGTGAAGGGGCAGGTAGAGGGAGAAGCAGGCTCCCCACCTAGCAAGTAGCTTGATGCAGGACTGATTCCCAGGACCCTGGGATCAGGACCTGAGCTGAAGGCAGATGCTCAACCTACTGAGTCACCCAGGCTTCCCTGGTAAAATGACCTTGAAAAACAATGTGGCAGCTCCTCAAAAGGTTAATCATATAATATCAATGACCTAGCAATTCTAATCTTAGGCTCTACCCAAGGGAATTTAAGTATATATTATCACAGACACTTTTTACACCAATGTTCATAGCATCATTATTCATAATAGCTAAAATGGGGGAACATCTACATGTCAATCAACTGATGAATGGGTAACTTATATATTCATAAAATGGAATTTTATTCATCAACATAAAGGAAAGAAATACTGATACTTGCCACAACATGGATGAAAATTATGTAAGAACATTATGCTAAATGAAAGCAACAATTTAGAAAAGATAACATACTGCATAATTCCTTTTGTATGAAATGTCTAGAAAAGATATTCTACAGTGAAAGGAAGTAGATTATGGGGTGCCTGAATGGGTCAGTTGGTTAAGAATACAACTCTTGATTTCTGATATGGTCATTATTTCAGGGTCATGGGATTGAGCCCCATGTCAGGCTCTGTGCTCAGCATAGAGTCTGCTTGGGATTACCTCTCCCTGTCTGCCCCTCCCCAACCTCCATCCCACACACACCCATTCCACCCCTCCTCCCCTGGCTCACTTGCACACTCTCACTCTCTCTCTCAAAAAAGAAAAAAAGAAAGTCGATTAGTATTTGCCTAGGATGTCTAGTGATGATGATGGAGAGGAATAAGTAACTGCGAGTGGGTAAGGAATTTCTTTTTAGGTGGCAAAATGTTTAAAATTAGACAGTCTTGATTGTTTCACAGTTTTCTATACTAAAAACCATTACATCATATACTTTAAATAAGTGAATTGTTTAGTATGTGGATTATAGCTCAATAAAGCTGTTAAAAACAGATAAATGTTAAATTTTGAGATTATTTGATTATTTGTACAGAATAAAAGGCCATGAAATAACTATATGTATTAAAAATTAGTGCATAACAGTGACTTTGGATCTCTATTATGATTAAAATACAACCTAATGTCCATATTAATAACACTATAAAACTTATTTGAAAATTACAAATAGTAGCTCGTGAAAGTTTTCATCACAAGGAGAAGTTATAACTATGTGTGGTGTGGATGCTAACTAGATTTATTGGGTGATCAATTTGAAATATATGCAAATTCAAATCATGAGGTTGTACACCTGAAACCACTAATAATGTTATATGCTAATTATCTCAGTAAAAAAAAAAAAAGTGGGGTCTATCTCTCCATGATTTTATCTGAGCTAAACTTGTGACACATCTTACTTGGAACCTTTAACAACATGAACAGAAGGTGCTAAAAGTGATCTTGTATAATCCCTAAAGGTTGGCTTGAGAGGCCTTAAGGCTTTTGTTTTTGTAAAACAACCACTGCCCTGAAACAGCCGTGGTGTGGTAGAGCCCAATCTACACTCCAGAAGAATGGGGAACAGGAATAAATAAATATTATTATCTATTTGTAAATTTCCTCCACCATACTTTTTCCTGTATGTCTTTGCACTTAAATCTTGACTACCAAGAGATGTTAGTTCTGAAGTTCTGACGTCCCTAAGAAGGTAAAAGCTGACAGATTTATTATCCTCAAAGACCAAGAAGCAGGACATGTGAAATAGTATTCAAGTTTCTACCAATGACTTTTTACATTTATTCCTGTTCACAAAAGGTCCTCAGTGCCAATCCCAATCAGAGGAGCTCAGAGAGTCTACTCTTGGTTCCTGGAAAGAGATCATTTCTTTCATTAGAACCTAGACTCTCCCCAGTTTCAGTAGGGGTGAGTCTGGTTTATACCATTTTATTTCATAGACATATGATCTCAGCACTGGCTGCCAACCACTGTAGTTTTATAGTTTTTGTAGTTTTCAACGTTGCTGTTGCAAGATGTTACAAGATAGGAATTTGACTAGAGCCTTCATTGATGAAAATTAATGACAACCCTTCTCACTTTCCAGATGGATAAATTAGTTTATTTCACAGTGGAAAACAATAAAAAAATGTGTCTCCCTCTGTCTTCCAATCAGTGGTCATACTTCTGTCCCTGGGAGGAGCAAAAACATTTTTA